CCCAGGTCGGTGACGGTGATGGTGATGTTGTACTCGGCCTGGCTCTCTCTGTCCAGCGCTCCTTCAGTTACTAAGGTGTAGAAATTTTCTACAGTAAGTTTCAGAAGGAAGGGGAGATGGTCTTGGATGGAACACTTCGTTTTGCCATTTTCCCCGGAGTCTGGATCTGAAATTCCAAAAATTGCCACCACCGTGTCAGGGGTGTTTTCCGGGATATCACTGGTGAATACTGACATAGTCAGTTCCGGAGTGTTGTCGTTTACATCCATCACTTCTACGGCTATAGAGCATTTTCCTGATAGTCCCCCGCCATCTGAGGCCTCAATTTCCATACGATAAGATTGAATTTCTTCAAAATCCAACATTTTTTTTAATCGAATTTCCCCTGTGACTGAGTTTATTTCAAAGGCCTGAATCACTTGATTTGAGGATTGGAAAAATGAGTAGGAGAGTTCTCCGTGGGTCCCAGCATCTAAATCTCTAGCAGTCACAGTGATGACAAGGGAGCCTATAGGGCTGTTTTCTGGCATTTGCACCTCATAGAGCAGCTGGGCAAATTCAGGAGCATTATCATTTATGTCCAAGATTAAGATGAGAACCTGAGAAGTCCCAGTCCTAGGCGGTGACCCACCATCCAGGGCCGTGAGCGTTAACCTGAGCTCTGACTGCTCCTCCCGGTCCAGCGCTTTGTCCAGCACCAGCTCAGGGTATCTCCTGCCATCGCTGTGATTTCGAGTGAAAAGGTGAAAATGGGAGTTGGTGCTAATGGTGTAGTTCTGAACTGTGTTACTGCCCACGTCTAAATCTTGAGCTATTTTCAAAGGAAATGCAGTCCCTGGATGACTGCTTTCTGAGATTTTCAGGAGGATTTCATTTTCCAGGAATTCTGGAGCATGGTCATTTACATCTTGTAGCTGTAGTTCACCTTGAATAAACTGCACTGGGCTTTTTAGTAACACCTGGAAATGCAGTACACATGGATCTGTGTCACCGCACAACTCTTCCCGGTCCAATTTTTCTTTTAACAGCAAATTCCCACTCTTCTGCTCCAGCTGCAAATACTGTTGATTCCCTTTGGAAAGAATTCGAGCACCCCGCACGGCCAGCTCCCCTAACCCAAGCCCCAGATCTTTTGCGAGGTTGGTCACAAAGGAGCCGCTTTCCCTCTCCTCTAGAACCGAATACTTAATGGTCGTACTCCCCACTTCCCACAGTATTAACAGTATTAGGATAATAATGGCGGTCACTTGCCTTTTCTGTGGCGCTTTGGGTAGCGGTGACTCCATTGTTCCTCGGGGTCCAAAAGATGCAGTATTTAATCACAAAATAATTACTGTGCAGCCAACTCTGCTATCTTAATTCAATAATCTTGAGTTAGCTCCTAACATTGACAGACATGGGGATAGCAGCCTCCCTGTAACCTACTATCCCCCAAGAGTGTAAAACGTTTCCTTTTCAAGTAGCTAGAAACCGCCTTTACCAAGTCTGCAGAGATAGTTTTTCACTTTCTTAGCCTGCAGCGCCACCAAGCGTCCTGCCTTACAACTTCAGTTTTTGTTTTTTTTGGTTGGGGGTTTTGGTTTTCATTAAAAAGCATCAAGCAACAGTTAAAACAAATAGGAAGCCTTTTGGATTGTAAACTCCCTTCCACCCCATTGTGCAGTATTCTTCAGGTAACTAACAATATTTGTGAGAGCAACAGTAATACTTACCTATCCGTATCTATATTCATCTTCCTTAAAGGTACAAGTTCAGTATATAAAACTCTGTCCAAGACAAATTCATTTATTCATTTAACCAGTATTTCTCTATGCAGGCATTTTTCCAGCTTCTGGAGATAAAATGGTAAGTTAAACACAAAATTCTTGCTCTTGGGTCCCTACACTGAATTACAAAAATACTAATTTGCTGTACTGTGTTAGAAGTTAAGAATTTTAAAATCCACTTTCTACTCCCAAATTGCAACGTGCCTGTAACTTCTGAAAAAAACTTAAAATGTGATTTTTTTGTCTCTGGGCTAAATAGCCTTGGCAATTTTTTCTTCATAAATTCACTCTGTACCATGCTCAGTAAGACTAAGAGGAAATGGCCATTTGTTTGTTAGAAATCAGTGTAATTTCAGAATTCAGACAGTGTCTTTTCTACAAACATGTAAGAGATAAAAAATGGGCCCAAAGATGTACTTTCTCGGGAAGGGTTCTACCTCTCAACATTGGACAGTGGCCCATCCCAGTGTACATCTCCTGGCACTGTGGAAATGGATATATTGAAAAACACCACAGAACCGACTGAAGTCAAGTGGTTGCAATGACAATAGCAGGAAAATTAGTTTCCCCCAAAGAAGAATGCTTTTCCAAGGTGGGGGGGAGGGGTATCTAAGAATAAAAAACAGTAAGTAAGTGTCCCCTCTACTCATTATACCCACTGGTAATCATTTATGACAGTTCACTTATTTGGACACAAACCTCAGCCAAATATAATTTAGTTAAGCCTGGTTCCATTTTAATGAAGGATAAAAATAAAATATTCACTCTGCTATCAGTTTATTATAAATTGCCCAACTGATGGAGAGTTGAAAGGAGAAATTTTTCTTAAAGTACTACAAATAAAACCAACACAAGACAAATATAACCTAAACTGTGAAAGTGAATGATTTTATGATTAATTTAGTTGATACTTATACAACACTTTATTTATGATGTTACCTAATAACCTGCCATTAATTACTTACATAGTTCTTGGCAGATATCACACATGTAAAAGCTTGAGAAACTAGGAGGAAGAGTTTGAAAAAAATAATTTGGATTTTATTAAATAATGCATTTTTAGGATACCTGGGTGGCTCAGTCGGTTAAGTGTCTGCCTTCAACTCAGGTCCCAATCCCAGGGTCCTGGGATCAAAACCTATAGCCTACTTCTCCCTTTCCCTCTTGTTGCTTCTCTCTCTCCCTCTGCCTACCACTCCCCACTGCTTGTGCTCTCTCTCCCTCTCAAATAAATAAAATCTTTAAAAAGATACATTTGAATTTTCAGATTGGTAGACAAAGACAAGGAGATAAAATGTACTCTCAACATTTTATATTCTGTATTAGAGTTTATGGTGTGTGAAGGGTAGTTTGTTTAGAAAGAAAGTAAAAGAATGATATTTAATTTCACTTATTAACCAAAGGTACTGCATTGTGAAGAGAATATTAACATTTTTCTGTATTCCTTGAAAATAATTTTTAAAATTCACAGTTGGAATATTAATAACATTCATCAAATATTATGCATTTATATTTGGCTTGGAATTATTAAAAATACTATCATACACTTACATGAAGCTCACAAACTGGATTTTAATTTATTGACATTTTGCAAAGTTTATATGTATAGAAAAATGTATTGACTACTGTAGTATATTGAAATACACATACATATAAATGGTTATGTTAGCATTTAGCCTTCTTTAGTATTTATCTTTAACTATTCACATTGTAGCCATTCCCCCAAAATGAGACTTACACTGCAGATTACATAATATCAAACACTCCCATTTTATTCTTTTTTTTTCTTTTTAGTAGGCTGTATGCCCAGTATGGGGCTTGAATTCACCAGTGAGATCAAGAGTCACATTCTCTACCAACTGAGATAGCCAGGCACCCCAAAACACTCACACTTTAAGAATTTCCCTTCATAGTAATAGTCATGACAGTTGTCACCAATAGTTAGATACACAATCTTACTTAAGGGCTTTGTATTACAATTTTTCTTAAAATGGATAGATGATTGAATTTCAAAATTTTTAAATTATGCAAATAAAATTTACTTTTTATTCAGATTCTCAAATATAGTTGACAGTAACACAAATCTACTAAGCATGATATAGGGAAAGCACTGTGTAAAACGAGTATCTGATTTTTTTCAACTTAAAGTGTAGTAAAATAATTAAAGAACAGACTATCATAACATGTAACTAAGTTAAAAGAGATTTTCAAACTTACTAAGTAGGGCTTAATAGGATAATCCAATACTTAACTGAATAGGAAACTATCCCGAACCGTGGGGTTTTCCTCCATTTCCTTGCCCTGGGGAGGGAAGTTGGGGATGATGGGCTTGAGGAACTTGAATTCACCGGTTCCAGAGCCTCCCCTCAG